GTTGTTTGCTAGGAGTCATGTATACTGAGACTGTATACTGTATACTGAGACCACTTCCCGATCTATTGAAATGACGTGTGACAGTTTAATTGTCACATGTCGGCTCGAACTATGAGGATGAGTGATTTTTCACTCGCCTCATAGTTCTCCTTTTACAGGAGAACTATGAGGTGAGTGCTTTTCACTCACCTCATAGTTCTAGCCGACCTGTGACAATGAGACTGTCACAGGTCAGCTCAGTAGATCGGGAGGTGAGCGAACACATACCGGCGTTTGCTCACCTCTCGATCCTGTCATGTTCTGCCATGACTGGGGAGGGGTTGGATTCCCCTCTCTCCGATCCGCCAGCGATGACTGGCGGAACAGACGGGGGAGGGGGCGGGTACAGCTGGCTCTGCCTCTAGATAGGCAGAGCCAGCTGTCAGTCACGCAGCTGGGCGGATCCCGGCACAATTGTCGGGATCCGCTTCAGCTGCGGCGTCTCAGTATACCGCGAGCTACAGCTCGCGATATACTGAGCCTAGGGTGACGGGAGGACGCTAGTTTGTGTCCTCCCGTTACCCTAAGGAGAACTATGGGGAAAAGCCTTAACCCCATAGTTCTCCTTTTTAAGGTACTTGAATGCATTTTGTAAGGTTCAACTCCTGAGTTTTTAGTATCACTTCAAATAAAACTTGATACATGAAAACAGACCTTTTGCACATGCTTGGCGGCGTTATGTGACTGGTATTTCACCCCATCTGTTGCCTAATCTTCTTGCACAACCTTGTAGTAAATTATGGTCCATAGAGTCTATTGAGGAATGCATGAGCTAATTTTCCATCTTTTTAGCATTTTGATTTTTTTCTTCTTGTACTGCAATGAGCCAATATGCCCTCAACCATGGGAGCCTGTCCTGCTAGCACAGATGAATTATTATACCCCCTGTTCCATAGCGGAATCTTTGACCCCTGAGTTTCAGATTTCATATGCTCGGCTGGCTTGAGTGGGAGTTTAGTGACATGCATGTTACGAGATCAGCGGGGATGGAAACACTCCGTTCACTTGTGATGTTAAGGGTTCCATTGCTGGATGCTTGAATGGCTAGTCTGTTCTCCATTTCCTCTGGAGAGTACAGGAATAATGATCCTCTCTGGAGACTTCTCACATGTACACAATATAATGCTTCTCTCACTGTGTAATGCAGGAAAACCATTTACAACACATATATTCTTAACTCTTTCATTAGACTCGAATGTCTTTTTAAAAAAAAAGTTTTAATAGATTTTGGACGTTTTTGCACAAAACGTAGCTAAACCGTGATGAATTTTTGAATGTGCAAACCAAACCAAAATTTGTCTTAAGTGCACCACAGATTCAGTAGTTTAATTGACTGGTCCTTTAAATCGCTCAGCGAATTGTGTGAATATTTACTTCAGTCATCCAGTCATGTGAAAAGCATCTGCACATGATTCAGTATAAAAAGTGAACAGCAATTTTAGTGAAGGTTCTTAACTCTTTTTGTAAAACTGCCTCATTATATCCTGTTTTAGTTGACATAGAATCAGCATGTTGTGTACCACTTTACAAGAGGACTAGTTAGAGCATGCAGCTACTTGTGGCACCAAATTCCGGTCCGGACGATCGCACTGTCGGGAGGGGTCGTGGCTGTGGTGCCATTTACTTAATTGCACCGTCACGCCCCCTCCCATGCCAGAACGCAGGGGGCAGTTGACTATGCGACACAGTGCGCTCCAGCAGCTAACCGCGCTGGAACGCACTGTATATGGTGTGAACAAGCCCTTAAAGTGGAGCCAGTGCATTTTATTTTATTTTACTTGTGCATTATTGCATTTTTGCATTCTTGATACATCAGGCATAAATTCTCAGTCCATGTCTGGGTAACCTTTTAAATGGACAGCAGAGGTAGGACTGCGATAAAATGGCAGCTGATCTGCCTTTTCTGATGGCCACAGAGCTTGAAGTATGACCTGGATATGACACCTTCCAGTGACATCCACACCTCTCCCCAGCTCCATAGAAGTCGATCTAAAAGCATTGTACTGCCATGTGTCAGTATTATTGTGTGCTATGTGGGCAATTCTTCTTCCAATGTCACATTACCAACTCGTCTTTCATCTTTTAAAAAAAAACGTATATAACTTCCTTGTCACACTCCTTACCGAATGTCCCACGTAGTGAGGAGGGGGGTGCTCATAGTTAGTGCGGGTGGCGCCGCAAATATCAGCAATCGTGTACAGATGTCACCCGCACACCAAAATCCTTTAGGATCACAATGTGTTCATTTATTGAAGATTCTTGTCATACAAACAAGCGCTTTTGGGGCCGCATAGGGTCCCTTCATCAGGCTTAGCATTGACTAAGATCCCAGATCATGTGACCTGATTTTAGAAGATGATTTTGTCACTTTAATTGTTTTTGTGAGAGAAGGTTTTTAATGTATGTTGTCGGATTTTCACTACTGAAATGTCTTTAGTCGTGTACCTCAGTTTCCTCTTTATTGCTGTTTTAGAAGAAGAAGAAAAAAAACCAAATCCTACATTTTAGCTTAGCTTTAGCTGTTTTGACCCATTTAGATTGTGCCAGCTGTGGTCAGTGTTTCCAAATGCACCCTAATGATACGTGATGGAGATGGTTGTTAATGGTGTGGTCACAGATGACCTCTCACCCTGATGATACTAAAGTAATGTGCTCCCTGCTTATATCCCACCTGCTAACATAGAACCAGCTAATGCATGTAGAGCATAATCCGGCCTTTATTAAATCTTTGTTAGTAAAGTATAAAAAAAGTATAAAAAAAGGAATAAATTACCTTTTATGTATAAACACTGATTACTAAATGCTGACCAAGTCCTTTTTATCTTTAAAAAAAAAAAAAAACAAACATACAAAAAAGCTTGCATTCAGCTCTTACTAAATATGTTTATATAGGGGGAAAAATGCATTAAATGACCTGGTGTATATGGATGAGGGGTCTAATGCAACATGAATACTTGGGCTACACCAAATAAAAAATGGGTACCAATCAAGTTTATTTTGATAGCTAAAACTAACAAGGGTTCTCTTATTTACTTTTAATAGCTTATAAGTATGTTACAAAGTAATGGTCCAGTAACGGAAGCCCACTAACAACCTTAGACCATTCAGAGTATGATTTTATTAATCGCAATATCTAAATATGTTCTTTAGGCTCCATTCACATATATCGTTTGTGTTTCCCATGTGGAAAACCGCACGGCACGCAAACGTTCACGCTTGCACGCATTCCGCTCATTTGCGGCTATTACTATAGCAGCGAACGTGTGGAATCCACCATAAAATCGCGCTTGTACTATTTTGTGGGATGCGCAGTTTCATACTGCTTGGTCGCCACAAAAGTCTGAACAATGCACATTGAAGTGCATTGTTTTTTAGAGCGGTTCTGCGCATATTTGTACGGCCGAAATCTTGTGTAGCCATCGCACTCCTGACTGAATAATACCCTTAGAGTAGGTTGGGAGCCAAATTGACTGCAGATGCCTCTGCAATCCAAGATAAGTGTATGCATGAATTCTGTTTGCCTGAAGAAGGAACCGCTGTTCCGAAACGTCGCTATATGATGTGATGGCAATCGAGTCAATAAACCGTTTTTGACTTAAAATTCTATTGGAGTGCGAGTGACTTTATACATAACATTTGTACTGCCAAATACGCGCGGACAACCGCTCCTGTGTGAATGGAGCCTCAAGACCGTTTTCTGTTCACAGAATTTTCTAAATCCTATTGACTTTGTTACATATTTAGCCATTTATGAAGAGCTGTGTCAGTCAAAGGGGAAGCTATAGCTGTAGTAGACTTTGACTTTCCTAAAGAGACTACGTTTCTAAATTACTTCCTCAAATACAGGAACTAGTTTTCTATGACAACTTTAGTCAAGATTGGAATGTGGAAATTGAAATGTGGAGTGATATAAATCACATGACTCTTCTTTTTATAGTGCACACCAGTCGGATGGGTAGGAAGAGAGCAGAATGGTAAAATGTCTCACCAGGGAATAACTGATGCTGCATAGTTTGCTGGTCTGACATCATAGTCTACTCAGGAGCTGTGTGCAAAGATATCCCTTAGCTTCTCTACTACATAAAAGCCGTAGCTTCCATACACTGCACTGATGTTGGCCACATAGCCTGAAACAGCTGTATACAGTTTTTAGTATAAATGGCTCATACAAACCGATCAGCCATAACATTATGACCACCCACCTAATATTGCGTAGGTCCCCTTTTTGCTGCCAAAACAGCCCTGACCCATAAAGGCATGGACTCTGAAGGTATGCAGTGGTATCTGATAGGGATGTACCGATACCCAGTATTGGCATAGATAACGATACTAGTATTTGCCCAAATGCTCCCGATACTTGTCCCGATACTGGAACTATCGGTATCAGGAAGCTGGGCGATGAGTCATTACATGCTGCCCAGCTTTTTGACTGGCCGGGAAGCTGGCTCCATACTCCCTTGTCACCAGGGAGCATGGAGCTGGCTTACCGGCCAATCAGGAAGCCGGTGTGTAATGACTCTTCACCCCCCCCCCGCTTCCTGATTGCCCGGGAAGCCGGCTCCATGCTCCCTCCTCACTTGGTGACGGCTAATCAGGAAGGCAGGCTTCCTTAATGCAACTTCCGGGATCGGTATAAGGTATCGGCAAGTACTGGAACAAAAAATTGGTACTCGATACCGAAAAACCGGTATCGATGCATCCCTACCCTAACGTGTTTCCACCAACTATAATCACAGTCCAATCCAATACTTTTTACTGGCTATGGAACCGTGTGCAAATACTTTCTTTGTTTTTATCAGGAAGATTCAACTGCAGAGAATATGTGGTGAATGACAGATTCCCTGCTTTATAAATGTCTGCAGTGCTATGGCATTGGCTGATAGAATACTGGAGTTACTGGGTTTTCTCTTAAGAGTTTTTGATCATTTGTATTTTTACTTCTATTTAGAATCGGGGGATAATATCCAGAGAACTATGCATCCCGCAGTTCAGGTAAATGTCTTCTGTTCTATAGTAGTACTTTAATTTATATTAGCAATGCCTTTCCATCGAGCATTGACAAAAATCCTCCATCAGCAGTTAGAAATTTCCCTCAGCTTTAGAGAACTATTTTGCAGATTGCAAGCTTTAGTCACAGGCACTGCACTTTGTTTGACTGTAGTTCTGTCATTTCAGGTTTGGTTTGGAGATGATCTGCTATTAAGTCAGAGAAGTCCATTGACTCCTAGACATGGTCCAGGTTTGTCTGATGTTTCCCAGTACGATCAATGGCTGGCTGTACGCCATGCAGCCACGCTGGTACCGATGCAGGAAGATCTGGCAATATGGCTGAGTGACTTGTTGGGTAGGTATGACTGTGTATTAGATATACTGGCAAATGTGTGATGCTGATTTGAAATGACTCAACACTGAATCGCACATTGTTATAGTGGCTGACACATCTGCAGTGAAAGCTCTGTAAGGAAAATTGGGATAGCATGTGTTTGAATAACTAACCAGAGCCACATGCATGGACACATGATCCATGAATTCCAGGCGATGAGCTGTGATCTGGCTATAGCCTTGTTCTACAGCCTCATGGGGTGCGAAAAGTATAAACAATGGGTAAAACATGTTATAAGGTTCTAGTAAAAGTGTGCTATAGTCTAGATGTACATCAGAACACAAAACCAGTAATCTAGTGAGGAAACCTGCAAAATTATTAATGACCTGTTTAGAGACTCTTTTTTTCATTTAATCCTTTCACTGCCAAGGTGTGTTTGCACATGTTATAATCCATATTTTAGGCCTGAAAAAATTACTTAAAACCACTAAGACCCTCTAGGCTTACATTTTTATGTCACATGATATTAGTGCAACTCTTTATAAAAACCCAACGTTTTAGTGCACAAAAACTCAATACAAAACCCAGTTTTGTTTTTTGTAAATTTATAAAAGATAAGGTTGTGCCTTTGACTGTTAAGATTTGTGGGCAGCATTGTTACTTTTGCTGTTTCCTGGTATATTATTGATCTTGCCTGTTCTGTATGTGCATTTAAATACATACACACACAAGAAAAGAATCTGTACTTTAACCCTTTTTGTTACCCAGGATAAAATTCTTTCTGTAAAATTGCACTCTAGCTTATTAGTTCTGTAGCTCTGGTGCAAAAGGACAAATGCAGAGTATGGACTATTTAATAGGTTTAGTACTCATAAGGGCCCTGTCACACCGTCAAGAGTGAGTTCCAGTGCGTTCGGCCTCTGAACGCAACCCGACCGGCTCACTTTGTTTTGGGGCAGGAGGGGGCGTGGTGGTCCATTGAACTCAATGGCACCGCAGCCACTCCCTACCCGCGGTGCGATCGCTGACACCCGAGCTCGTGGCACATAAGTGCCTGCGTTTCGGTCCAGTGCCATCTGCAAAAAATGCTGCATGCACTATTTTTTGCAGATCGCACTGGACGGGTACGCAGGCACTAATGTGCCACGCGTTCAGGTGCCGGGGATCGCACCGCGGGCAGGGAGCATTGCTGCGGGGGCCATTGAGTTCAATGCACCGCCATGCCCACTCCTGTCCCAAAACAAAGTGAGCCGGCCGGGGTGCGTTCCAGAGGCCGAACGCACTCTTGATGCTGTGACTGGGCCCTAAATGTTTTTGAGAACCCTTTTGGAATTATATGGATTTCTAGGATGTCAGTAATAGAATCAAATAGTCCTATTCAGCAAACACACATAATCATCCTCGTCACCTCATTATTTATTGAACAAATGGTCTACACAATCAAGGATCTGGAGGGGGGGGGGGATGATAGTTTTATCTTCCCAAGAGGGGAATTGGATTAGGCAGTTTAATGTTTATATTTTCTCTTTTAAGAAGAACTCCAGGATTTTTACAAATAATCCCCTGCAGTGTGGGTATAGCCCCTCTGCAAGGAGATAAGTGCCCATTTTGTCGCAGGGGTAAAAATAAAGAGGATATACTTACCTGATCCTTGATTTTGCTTGGCTGCTAGACCAGTTCCTGCAGCCTCTTCTTCCCTGGGCTCCAGCGGTCTAAGGACCTCTGACATCATCACATCTAATACCGGTCCGTTAGATGTAAGGATGCCGAGGAGCAGCAGGGGAGAGAAGTGCTGACCGCCACAGGACCGAAGATCAGTTGAGTATATCTTCTTTATTTTCACATCAAAACGTGCACTTAACCCTTGTAGTGCAGGGGTAGCCCCACTGCAAGGTTATTTTTTAAACATCCTAGACATCTTCTTTAAGCTACAGGCTAAACAGCTTCCTCCAGTTATGCTAAACAGAGCAGATGGACAAATCTTCCCTGCCAGACTACTGTATTCTGACAATTGGCTGCACTATTTAAATTTTCAATCCAGCGCCTTCTACAGTACAAAGGAAACCCGGAGGTGGTGTCAGGACCACCCACAGTTTGAATTTGAGTTAATTCAGCAGAAATCGGGTGAAATTCAAGCAGTGTATGGCCAGCTTAAATTGGATTACTTTGACACAAACTTTTCCCAGCTGTATATAAAAATAGGTGTATTTTTTTTCTTTTAATATTGAAGTAGAACTCTTTTTAGCCACATTTTTAAAATAGCTAGAATGGGGAAGGGTTAGAAGTTCCAAGCCGGCAACTTCTCGCGATATCGCGCGGCAAAAATGCGCGATATCGCAGCGGAAATCGCGCGATAATTCGCTACATGTGAACGGGGCCTAAAGCTTTAAATACATCCTGTATAAAATAAAAACCACAAACCTCTATTAAAATTACTATTCTTAAAGAAAAGTGTGTCCTAGTTGTCACATCTGCACCATGGCTAGATACGCCATGTAGACTTTCCTTCTGACATGGTGTCTGCTTTCAGGGGAGGAAGTAAGAAGTGAGAAGTTTATGGAGGATCTTGACAATGGTGTTCACCTCTGCCAGCTCATCCAGGTTGTACAGAACACTATGAGGAGATGCTGCTCTCCTGAAGAACTGGTGGTAAGAGTTCTTCTTGCATGTTGTATGGCTTTTGATGTTTTAGAGTTAACACCATGGAAGTTTTTTTTCCAGTGTTTGTCAATTCTTTATTTTACATATCATGGTTAAAGTGTGTGTGTGTGTGTGTGTGATCCTGTCTGCGTCCGTGCAGCTTGGGTGAGCGTACAGCGGCGTATGTCCGCATCTTCCCATGAAGAACAGGCTGCTGCATACTATCACACGCAGCACCCGTCCTTCCCGGGAGCGGCCTTATATGGTCATGCATGCCGCAGAGATCTGTACGGGCCGACTATAAGCTGTGTGAATGTGGCATAAAACATCAAGGAGCAGCATCCATTGTAAATTATGTCATCAGCATTTGAAATGGCTTAAAACCAATTTGCCTTTATCGCTTTAAAGGCCAACCTCCGCCCCCTTCCATTTTTATTTACTTATTTATTTTGTGTGTAGATTTCTTTTTTTCTGCGGTCTTCTCTCCGGTCATGTGATTTCATGGGTCCTCTTTTTCCCTGGACATTGGGCCAGAGTGCTACAGAGTAAGACACTCGTACATGTAGTTATGTGTGCAGTTCTCTGCAGCATTAATCCGTGAGGCCCGACTGGCTGGATGACATGCCTTGGGCTCATAGGAAGTGTGTTGAATGATGCTGATCAGGCACTGGACCTGAGTGGTGATTCTGTGGTGGAGAGAAGGCGAGTATTGGAGTAAAGCGGCTGTTTTTATTTTCACTAATGCTGGGTAAATTTTAGTATAATTTTTATTTTAATCTGGACTTGGGCTTTACTATGGGATTAGCAGTCCATTCATTCATAAGAGTTCAAACTTTCTATTGCTTTCAAAGTGATAGTGTAGTTCTCTCTGTTAGTGTTCTCTCAATCTTTAAACTGCATCAGAGCTATAGTAATCTGCCATATTACCCTTTTCTTTGCCAGGGGGTGCCCATGAGGAGGGTTCCATGCAGAAAAGATGCTCCATCCGGCTCATTTTTTGCTCGGGACAACACTGCTAACTTTCTCCGCTGGTGCCGAGGCATTGGAGTGGATGAAGCTTATCTATTTGAATCTGAAGGTTTAGGTAAGTTGGACATTGTAGCAAAGTTTGTATAGTCCTACACAAGCAAGGAGTAGTACTGGCTACAGAACACTGGAAGACCATCTAATAAAGGGGATATCTCAAAAGGACACATTCAGAGTCAGGTGACTCTATCTTCTATGTGTAGTAGTCCAGAAAGGTCTGCACCCTCCTACAGTTTTTTTGTTTTTTTCCACTACATTTGGCAGACTGAAGTCCAGCCCATGTGAACAAAATCTGCATGGAGCTGGCATGTTTTCCCATTGTTTGTGTGGGGTTTATCTGGGTTTTTAAATTTACACCCCACAAACTAAAAACATAATGGGGGTTAATTGGCTTCTGACTAAAAAGGGCATGTTTGCCAAAGGTGGGGACATTAGATCGTTGGCACTTTTACACAGTGCCATGATATGTAAAAAGACAGGGCATGTTGTGCCAGTATATGGTACTGGATAGAAATTCTGATGGTTTTCTGGTTTCCAGTGGAAATGTGAGGAAAATGTAAATGATCCTTTTTGCAGCAGCCTTAAGTGACACTAAACTCAGGTGTTGGATCTTAAAAATACATTCAAGTACCTTAAGGCCTGGTTCACACCTGGGTGTTTTACAGCGCATAGAGACGTGCTGTAAAATGCTCAGCGTGTGAAAACCAATAATTGCCTATGGGCATGGTTCCCACCTGGGCGTATTTCAGTGCGTAGGAACGCACAAAGAAGTACAGGAGCTTCTTTGGGGCATATTTTCCGCGCGTATCCATTAGGATACAGCCGGATAGCCCTCGTAAACACTCGTTTGTCGCGCGTTTCTTTTACCGCGGTAAAACGCGCGGCAACCGTACACCCAGGTGTGAACCCAGCCTAACTACTAACAAAAATGTATCTTATTTGCATATCACTCAGCTGTAGATCCTCAAATCATCTCTGAATTGGTGCTGACACTGTCCTTTCTTTTGGAGGGTGGCTACTTTTGTTCCCTATGGTCCCTGTGTGTGTTGTCAAGTAGCCACCGCCCTAAGCTCGCTCCCATGATGGACTACAATCTCAATACAAATTGGCAAAGTAAACATGAGATTGTGGTCTATCATGGAGTGAGCTTGGAGAGGTGGATACTTTGCAACAAACACGGGGACCATAGGGAACAAAAGTAGGAAGGGCAGTGTCAGCATGAATTAGATGATTTGAGGATCTATACCTGAGTGATACACAAATTAAGATACATTTTTGTTAATAGTTAGGGTACTTGAATGCATTTTTAAGATTTAACTCCTGAGTTTAGTGTCACTTTAATGATCTAGAAAAATCCTCCATAAATATCTATAGTGGGTCCCTATGGAGCTCCCCCTGGACTACAGTGAAACGTCAATCCACTCTATGCACAGGCAGCACAGTGAGTCTGATCTCCATCGAGATGGAGAATTGTGATCCACCTGCTTGACTTTGACTAATGGTCACTGTTCTGGCACATAGAAGCGAACTTAAGCGTAATGTATCACAGGACATGTACATGGAAATAAATAAAGGGCAAGTGCAGTACCACAGGCTGGAGCAGTATGAAGTTTTAAAGCATTTACATAGAGTATTTCAAAAATTAATGGATTAATCGCAGTAATAAAGGCAAATGGGGAGAAACTTTTTTTTTTCCAGTGTTTTCAGGATTTAGTACCACATGAGATGTGCAAGTATTTGTTTACTGACCTGATTTTGCACATTAATGATTGTTTTGTCTTACATTCTTGTGATGATGAACCAAAAATAACCTTCAACAATGGGTTCTATTGAGAGAACTGGTTTTATAGCCAAAAAACCCTGTTTAAAATAGTAACCCAGTGACAGTACGTGATGCTAGAAAATGGTCTGTATGAAATTGTTTTCACAAGTCCTGTCCACAGAATCGCCCTCGAATATGCCTTAAAGGCCAGGTCTGGCAGAGCTTCTGACCAACAGCTGCCGTGCAACATTTGTCAGACAAAATGCTCATTATGTGTGTGTAAATGTATCTTCTATCGCAATTAAATTTCCATGCTTCAGTAAACCTTTTCAATAGTTCATTTTCTTCCGAAGCAATTGTTTCATGTTAGTGAACACTAACATGTTTATGAAGAGCATCAGAAAAATAAAAATAGAATCATTACTCAATGCGGTGATTGTTTTTGGAGCTGCATCTTTTTTTTCCCTGGGCTCCGATTTGTGTAAATTTTTCAATAGATAAAATGCCTTTGCTGCAGTGAACTGCAAGGATATTGTATCTCCCTTTTTATGTATATGAATTAATGCAAACGAGGCCCTTGCCTGCTGGGTTTTATGTATGTCACATGTGTGTTATGTATTCATAAATATGGGAGAAAGGGGTATAGGCCACCCATTGTAATAAACCACCTTCTGTGTGTTGCGAATAAATAGATATATCTATTGTGTGTGTGTGTGTGTATAATTTCTCCAGCAGTGCTATCTAGTGCAATATCTCGTCCTTTCACCCCTCCTTCCTCTTTTCCTCTTTCCCCCTCTTTTTTTTTTTTTCTTCTCTCCATATATCAATAGGTATATTTTTTTTTACACAGGTAACCTTGCAATTGCCAGTTGGAGTGGCTCCCATTGCTGTGAAAGCAGTTGTGCCCTCACATGTCCATGTGTTGTGTTTTAAGGTGGTGTGTGTGTGTGTTTTTTTAAAGCACTTGTGGTTTGCTCTAAAGTTAGGGTTAGGACTGTGGTGTTTTTTTTTGTCCTGTGACACCTGGATTGAAATTGTGGGAAAAAAAATCAAATGGGAATAGAGGGTTCATCTTCCAATGTGGGCACTTGTTCCAATGACAACTGTTTAAGAGTATTATCCTTTTTGGAGGGATTTTCCTCACACTGTCTGATGTGCCTTTTAGATACAAAGTGAAGTAAAAACTCTCAAGGCTTTTTTTTTTTTTTCTTTTTTTGCCATCTGTGTCCCATGGGGGAGAATTTCTTCACTTCTGCCCAAAAGCTGCAACCAGAAGCAAGAGGAAATCTCTGATGGTCAGCAGGGTCTCCAAAACCTCCCATTTGGAAGATTTCCCAACTATTTCTGTTATGAAGATAACCAGAAATTGTGGTTTTTATTGCCAGTGATAATGGTCACCAAGACAAATAGAGTGAATCTCCCTAATGGAGACACAGCAGCAAAAGTCTGACCGGTATTATAATGCCTCTCCACTCTATTCAAAACTATAAAAAAAAGTTTTGGCTGCAGTTGCACTTCATAGCGGACCTTTCTCAGATATTTCATGTTAGGGGGTATGCATGCAAAGTAATGTGGAGGTATAACGCTTACAGCCATTACCTCTGAAAAACATCACAGTACTTCTGGCAATGTCTGCATCTTCCACTGTTCAAAGATTGTGATCTTTGTTCAGACATTGGCTTCTTGTACTAAAATAAACCAGAAATGATACTGCCTTTCAAATTCTGGTAACTGGATAGTAGTTATATTTTTGGACGTGTATAAACCTCATGTTTCATCCACACCAGCCCCTGGTTGCTGTCAGAATGTACTTGTGATATTGGTGGGAAGTGGGGGAAAAAAAATATATAGAAAGAAATAAAAAAAAAGAATCCAAAAAAATATATATAATAAATAATCCAGAAGCCTTGTAATTTTTTTGGTTTTTCAGTGCTACATAAAGATCCCCGGCAAGTATGTCTGTGTCTCCTAGATGTTGGACGAATTGTATCCAGGTGTGTGATTTCTAAGCACTACCAAATATATACTTTCATTTGTATAAAATAACTTGCCTTCAAGAAAGTGTTTTTTGTACCTGATATTAGACTGGACAGTTAAGGGCTAGTGCACACCAGGTGCAGTTGTGATGCAGTCTGTTCAGTTTAGAAGCTGCATACAAAATGCATCATGCTTTCCTATGGGATTTCTGGCGCTCTGTTCACACCAGTGCAGTCCGTTTTGATGCAGTAAAATAAAAAAAAATGGCTTACCCTATTTTAGCTGCATTGGATCACAAGGGAATGCATCAAAAATGCATGCAAATGCATTGGAATGCGCCTGAAGTCCCGTTTTAAGCAACCCCCCCCCCCAACACATGGGCAAACACACGTGGTAAAATCACGGCAAAACTCTTCTCATTGCAGCTGCGCAGACGCATGCAGTTCTGGTGTGAACTAGCCCTAACAAGATTGTGGGTCTGATTTTATATAGAGACCAGTAGGTTCTAGTTACTTCAGTTCCTCCAGGCTGGATTTTAAAATGACAACTGGATTCTGATTCTGGATTCACAACACGCTTTTTATATAATGTAAAACTTATTTTATTTGGGTTTGTTTTTAGCCACATTATGAGGTTGCTCTTCTTTTAATTACAGATATGGAGTGGACCCACCAGTGTTGGTAAAACTAGAAAAGGAAATTGAACTTGAAGAATCCTTACTCATGGAGTCTGGACCACTAGCCCCAACAACAATCCAAAAATCATGCTGTCATCATGAGCTACATGAAGCAGTAAGATGGCTTTTTTTCCCCATTTCCATTGCCAAGTGTTTCTGCATTCTTGGAGAGACCAGTCTCCATGCAGAATTCCAGTCATTAACATGCAGTAGACCATAATACTTGTAATGTCTTTACACATCTCACTAAGCTTGGTCAGCAATGTATATTATATTATTATTATATACTTTTATGTATATTATACATTTTTCATGAAAAATGTGCTTTTAGCCATTTCCTAATGATGCCACCAGAATGTGACTTTCACTTTCAGCCTCATCCTGCAGAGAGATTTTGCAGCTCCCACTACAGCAATCTAAGCACAACTGGGGCAAGGTGGACTCCACAGTTAACCTTTTGCACTCACAAACAAAAGCCGCCACTACCTGTTTTAATGGAAAAGCACACCCTGCACAGCATCTGCTGTTGCAATTCTGAACTTTAAGAAATGTCTATACAACATGCTGCAAAGCACAGACAGGAATGTACAGAGTTTTTAAAATATAGTAGCTTTATTCAGAAGCAAGGATTCTTTAATTTCTTTCTTAGAGCAGGCAAAGATTCAGCGTAACGATTGTTTAAATATCATTTTAATGAAAGAAAAGGAAAAAAAATGATGCTAGAAAATATTTTCAGTAAAGGAATATTATGGAATAGACAGTAACCGTAACATATAGCAGGATTAACAATTTTTAAACGTACTTAGCAAGGTTTTCCTGATCTTTAGTTCCTGCACAAGTCCCTTTTAGAATAAGTCCAGTCAGAGTCACTGGCTGTCCCATAAATTACTTTCAGTATCATTACCAGTTTTAATGTCAAATGAGATCTACCAAGCTGCATATGCAGCCAGCTTTGCTGGTCCCTAAGAGGGTGTTTACTAATATGACATAACCAATCAAAAGGTCTAAGGCGTGTGTTGAGATGTTTTATGATGCTCCAGCGGACATTCCCTCAGTCAATTTTTTCTTTACTATATCAATATTTTCGATGGTTTGACCTCAATTGCTTAATTTCTAACGCCTTATTATCATCTTGTCCTTTTTTTATTATATTTTATATATCACATTTTAATTACATTTAATGTTTTTTAGTTTCAGTATGCTTATAGATGTATCCATTTTATTTATAGAAGAGGTACATGTTGCCCTTTTCCCCTGCTTCCGTGCTCCTTTTTTTTTTTTTTTTACTTTTTGAAGTAAAAAGTGAAATATAACCAATCTCTGGTTGGAGCATATCGGTCCCATTGCACGTAAGTGTATGGCCAACTGCGATGTGCTCCTCTCTTCTGGGTATTATGATAAAGGGGTGGTCTTTTTATAGCTTAGATAGAAGCTCAGATTTCGGAGACTCCAGACCCTACGAAGTCACGTGAGACGCAACCCGCGTAGGGTGGAGTTACCGACGTCATTTCTCCAACTGAGCCAGAAGGAGGGGAGGGTCCCTTACTCCTGCTTCGTTTCAGTGGGCACCCTTATTGGGATTGTCCGTTTTGCCTATTACCAAGTTTTTTATGTGAGTACCCTTTTTTTATTCCATAAAATACCCTTGCTGGATGGTACGCGATATGTGTTTTCGCTTGTCTCTTTCCGGGTTTACATTTATCTACGTGTGCCTGCCCTGAGTGGAACTGGAGTTACTGTGATAGGGGTGTCCCTCTCCTTAAGAAGGGAACTGCGTTTAGAGACCCATTTTACGGGTCGTTATCTCAGGTGAGCACCACTCTGCACATCATTATTCACTAGGTGTGGATTGGAACATTCTCTTGGTAGCGGTTTTTCAGGATATCCTTTTTAAGATTGACCACCTTTTTTAAAGCATCTATATGTCACAATTTTTTTTACTGGCGCGGATCATTATTGTTCAAATATTTTCAAATGACCATATTTATCAGTCCCAAAAATTAACATGTGATTTCATAGACTTTAAACATGATATGGATCTCATGCATGTTCTCCTTAGGAAAACCAATTTGCCTGCTGCACATTATACAGTAGGCATGTTTGGTACCTACTTGATTGTTATCCTCTTACATAATTTGTGAAGATATCTCCGTTATATCTGCTTATAATATATAAAAAGGTTTTGGTTCTGGTAGTTAAAAAAAATAAAGACACAGCAATTTTATGACAGGCTTGGTTAAACATTTTTCAAGGCCCTGCAGATTCTGGGCTAAGTATATGGGCTGAACCTGGGCTAAGCTATGTTCAATTTAATCTATGCCCACAATTTTGAGGTTGGAGGAAATGTGGATGGATCTGAAGTTGCTCAGTGAGCTTTTTACAAGCAGAAATTTGGAATTCCCTTCTCCAGGTAATGCAGGGGTGGACCTACTGGTGGTGGAGCCGGTGCGACCGCCCCCGGGGCCCAAAGCTAGGGGGGCACACTGACAGGGGCGGACTGTGGTGGCTTATGGCAGGCCGAGCAGCACAGAGATTCTAGGGCTGTCCATCTGCTCGGCTGCTGCTGTCCTCCCACTTCCAGTAGCGTGGGAGTGCTGCGGGGGGCCAATATATCGCTTGCAATGTAAATGCTTGAATACAATGCTGGCAGTATACAGGACACACCGCCGGGTCACTCCTTTCCTGATGCAGGCACTGTGTGTCACATGCCCCGCCCCCTCCAGACTGTGGCGGGGATGGTGTCGGGCTCCGGCAGCATTACAGTGTATAAGGTAAGTCAGTCGGGGAGGGGGCGCCCAGAAACTGCACACTGTGTGCTGTTATTTTATTAGGAAAATGGATTATAATAGGGAACATTACACTATACATTGCATTCCTGAGTCCAGCGTATTATACGTCTAGAGTCCAATTCATATACTATTCTGCATTGCTGTATAATGTATTGCTGGGATTTGTAGTCCCTCCACAGCTGGTGCCATTCTGCATTGGAGTGTAAGCTCCTCTGTACAGAGACTGATGTGGCTGGCTCAGTGTTCTCTGTACTGCACTGCAGTAGATGTCAGCTATATAAATGCATAACAATAGTGTGTGACTGTGGGGGGGCATTAGAGTGTAAGCTCCTTTGGTGCAGAGACCGCCGGAGGGTTTGGGGGGCCAGTGTGATCCGCATCGCCCCCCCGGGGTCCCAAGAAAAAAGTTTGCACCAGGGCCCATTTTTCCTTAGGTCTGCCACTGAGGTAGTGGTATCAACACAAAACTACTATACAGGAGGAAGTATTTTCTTAAGACTCCCACTGACTCACACACGCATAGGTCGGACTGTGTCTGTTTCCAACTTTAGCTACAATGTAACTATGCACAAGCTGGGAGGGGATAAATGAAATGTCAGTTCTGTGCAAATCCCCTATCCTCCCCACTTGGTTTGTGGTTTGTCAGACCTCATTATTATCAAAGCATTATCTGCCTGGCTCCTGGGATTTATCTAGATATCACACTGGCAATATGAGTCCTTCAGACTTTTTTTTGTGTAGTTGCACCACTTGTGCATTAATCCCTAACAAATATACAAATTCCAGTCAATGTCCAGTTACCAATGTTTTGGTTGTGTTTTGTCTACTTTTGTGTTTGTGTGTGAAGTGTTCAATCCATTGAGGGATAGAGCAGTTGCACTATAATTTTATAATTTAGCAGTATTCCTGTATTACAAATGTTCCTTTCCATAGTTGGAACAAATGGCATGTCCCTGAAATAGTTGTATTATTTTAGCAAGTAACACTGCTTTGTTTATTTAGCTGTTGACTATTTTTTTTTCTCTGTTTTAGGTGACTCACATTGCTCAGGATCCACCCTGCAATTGCTCTCATCGCTTCTCTATTGAATACTTATCAGAGGGTCGCTATCGGTTAGGGGATAAGATCCTCTTCATACGGGTAAATATAATATGTGTCTCTGAAAATTTTCTCACAAGGGTTTTTTTTTTCTTCATTAAACACATCCATTAGATATTTAAATATGGCTCTCTTGTAACCGCCTGCAGAGCCATTGCTTTGCATTAATTATGAGATGCCCATTAGAACATTGTAAAGTCCAGCAATTATTGCTGTTTATCACCCAGGAGCCATATACTTGCATCCATTTAAAATGATTTCCATTAAGAAAACCATTTTTGGTGCAGTCATGAAGTGTGCTTCTTTTTTAATAATTGCCCTTGGTATTGCTAATGTGCACACAAAGATGTTCATCAAACACTTCAGCTAGCTTTGGCAATTCAATGGAACGTTCATTTTCCACAGTCAATATAATGTGAACTTTAGCAGGCAGTTAGTAATGAACGGGGTTTTGTGGGTGAGAGTGATGAAGATATTAAAGTATTACACAGATTGTATTTCTGTAGCCTGCACTCTCCTACTTTGGAAAGGGAAATCATTTGCATTCAGCACAAGAAGAGTAGACTGGTAGATGAATGCTTACAATGATACTATGAGAAAACATTAACAACCACAGATGCTGCGATTTACCAGCCTCAATGTTCCCAAAAAACAAAATCAAAACTCCTGAAAGCCGTTCTACACATATTTAAAGTGATTTGGTGTGGACTTTATGGAATTATGGACTTTAACCCCATTTCATTGTTTTTCTATACTTCTCATGACTTGCTAGGATGCAGTATTGGGTTTCCTGGAGGAAGCATCTGTGTGCTAAAATATATGTAGAGAAAGGAAGTGACTGTAAATGGATGAATTAACTTACAGGAAGTTGTGCTTTGTTATTTCTTTTATACATGCAAATTTAAAGTAGAATAGGGCCTCATGATGCCTAATGGGAGATCATGGCATGCTTTCCTAATATGTATCAAGAACTGTTTGGCACTCGGTGTAAGATTCTGTATTGAGCTGAGTATCCCATTAATTGTCTAAACATAATAGTGCATTTACATATCTTTAGTACGATAATGGTAGGTGGTTAAATCAGAGGATGATTGTGATAAATTGATTACAGAAGAAGCAATTTCAGCATCAATCTACTTCACTTAGTGAGGCCTATGATCTTAGGTATGTCATGTAGTGGTGAGCCCAATTATAGTACTGCATTTATTTTATAGGGCTAGCAGTCCATCTGCATTGAGCTGATACCAAATTTAAAACCCCCACACAATCCAAAGGGTATCCACCGCACTCTATATGTGAGGTAAATGCCCAAGTGCGCATCCAGAAAAAAATATCCATGCAAATCTATAGGTCTAATGGGTCTTGCAGTGGAGAGAAGTCCAAGCAGCAGCGTTTTTGTCAACCGTTCGATGGAGCTCAGCCCGATAAAGACAGATGGAGCTCTTAGCCATTTACTTCACAAAGTGTGTGTGTGTGTGTGTGGTACACAGATGTACTGCTCTATATTGAAAGAGAAGATGCTACCATCATTTTTCTTGTGTTCACTGAGTTACCGAATAAAATCTTACTCTTCAAAGGTGTGTGTGTTGGAGAGATGGATGGATGTGTGTGTAAATGGGTAAGCTGTATTAGTCCAGTAGACAAGATGGTAAAAAAAAACCTAAAACTGAGTATTGTAGTATGCGATGATACTTTTCTTATTGGACCAACATAATATTTAAAAGACAATCTTTTGAGAGTTAACCTCTCCTTCAGGTCAGAAGCAATACTAATCACCATGACAGAGTTTACCACTGTAAAGCAAGAGAAAGTTGTTGGGGTGGGGGGTCCTACATTTTGGGCCTGGGAGTGAAGAATGCATCTTGATAACCAGAAGACAGAACAAATAAACATAGGATGACAATAAACCCTAAACAGATCAGAGATATACAACCTACATGAATATTATGATCTGTATATTCATTAAAAGTTCTGGTAGTGTCGGAAAACCAGAATCCACATTAAGTCCCTCCTTTTATGGCGTTGAAATGTAAAATCATTTTCATCTCAAATGTTTTCCTTTCATGAGAGTTTTTCAAATTCCCTTTCTGTACTTTTAGGCCCCGTTCACATTGAGCGATTTATCGCGCGGTAATTCCCGGGATATCGCGGCTATTTACCACGCGATATCGCACTCCAATGTTTGGCAATGGGGCAAAGGGTCCTGCTGTCGCGGGTCGTGTGTCGCTACAGCAGGACCCTTTTTGGAGCGGATTTTGCCGCGATTCAATGCTTTTTGATGCAAGCATTTGCACGACATTGCGCAAAATGCAAATCGCGCGACAAACGCGAATTGCGCAGTGTGAATGGGGCCTTAATATTGAGGTTTTGGATGGAGTGATCCTTCTGGGAGAAGTGATGTCCTACTGGGGTGCAATATTCGTTTTCTTTGTGGGCTCCTGTGTAGGTTCATCCTGAGATGCAGCTTAAGGCCAGTTTCCCCAATGTAACAACCTTTGTCACATGATGAACACCGTATCATATACACCAAGTTAGCAGATGTACATGAGTATGATCCCTTAATGGTGTACATTTTGCTATTGTAAACTCGCTGTATTCTTGTCACATATGTTGGAAAAGTTTCCAACATATATGTGACAAGAATATGTGACAGCGGGGTTCATTGCATTGTACTGTGCCGTTCTGTGTAAGTTCCTGTTCTGGGGTCCGCTTACTGTGTACTTGAAAGCCAGTATTGGGGGCTGAAGGAATATTTCTTGAAGTATGGGGTCTTCTGAGAGTACTGGCTGTAGATCTTTGATAATTTTGCGTATTACCTCTAGAGTAGGGTTGTATGTAACTACAAGAGGGGTCCTGGTTGTGTTTTTTTTCTCTTTGTACTGAAGGAGCCTTTCACGTGGTGTTCTTGGGGCAGATTAATTTTTTTTTTTTAGATAGTCTTTTCTCTTTAGCCCTTTTGCCGAAATGCATCAGCCAGTGTGCTCCGGTGTTTTGTCTCTGTCCTCAGTGTCAGAGCAAATGCGATGGTATTGGATTGCTTGGCTGTAGATGACACCCTGTTTAGTGTGATTCGGATGGAAGCTGGAATTATGGAGGTAGCTGTACCTGTCTGTGCGTTTTCTGTACACAGAAGAGCGGAGTGAGCCAATGCTGACAGTTATGGCACAATCCAGAAAAAACACAGGGGAATTTATCAATTCTGGAGCAGTTGCCTAAGGCAACCAATCAGAATCCACCTTTTCATTTCAAACCTTTAACTGAACAAACTAAAGAGAGAAGCTGATTGGTTGTCAAAGGCAACTGCTCCAGATTCTTCTGCTCCAGTTTTGATCATTTCCCTGCACTGTGTTGAGAAATTAATTTTGAGTTTAATCGATGGATGGAATTAGTGGAGTCCCAAAAGCTTTAGAAATGGCTTTATAACCTTCTCCAGACTAATGGATCTGAATTACTTTCTTTTGTCATTTTGTTCCTGGATTTCTTTAGATCTCGGCATGTCTAGCTTTTGAGGATCTTTTTGTTCTACTCCACTTTGTCAGTCAAGTCTGATTTAAGTCATTTCTTGATTGTGAACAGGGGTGGCAGTAATCAGGCCTGGGTGTGGCTAGAGAAATTGAACTCGGGTGCGATAAACCAGAGTTAAGTTATGTTTTAACCAGTTGCCGTCCGCCCGTTGTAAAAAATCGGACGGACGGCACTGCAGCATTGGCAAGTTGCCGCCTCCAGACGGCATTTTTTTTCTGCGGGCGCGCACGGGCATAAAAGACCCATGCAATGCAAACACCCGTTACCGGGTATTTAACATATAGACGATCGGCGGCGCTATAGCCTGCCGATCGTCTATATGTGCTAGTTTTTTCGATCCGCCGCCGCTTTTTCGTTCCCCCCGTCTGCTGCTGCCCCCCCCTCCTCATGACCCCTCACCTTCAATCCCGGGATCCGCTGCCACATCTGCGGCCCGGGAATGGCTCGGGAGGGCATCAGGAGGAAGAGGAAATGAGATCAGCTCCTTGCTGATCTCCCTCCGGGCTGTGAATGCAGAAGTGATGTGTATTACATCACTTCCGCATTCACTTGTCAGTCAGCTGGCTGCAATTGCCAGAGAAAAGAAACTGATGAAGCAGATCTCTGCTTCATCAGCTTCTTTTGGGGTCCACAGGTGACATTAGGGGTCCTAGAGACCCTTAATGTCTCTATAAAGAGGACCTGTCAGTGTGCCATTGCTATTATATAGGGGGATTGTTATCCCCCTATATAATAGCAATAACAATAAGTGCAAAAAAAAAAAAGTCACATATAAAAAAAAGTTAA